ATTCTATACACAAAATGTACACCCCTTGAGGGTAGAGATTTTTACCATAGTGGGCACCCAACACTATTTCTTGTTTAAAAGAATGATAATAAACAAAAACATAAAAGGTTCCAGAAAGGTCCTACAGAGAGAAACTGTAAGTCTTTCACAGACAGTATTTACTCGTCCATTCAGTTTTACCAAAACATGCCTAACATGCAGAAGCTGATAATCTCCAGAACTGCTCTATGTTGATAAAGTGTCAAATTTCAGGTCCAAGATTCTTGTTTGTGCTAGGTCACAGCCCTGTTCAGACCACAGGTTCTTTTTCAATCCCTGTAGGCCTTTCCTCAGTAGGGCTTCCCTATCATTTCTCAGTCATGTCTGTGCCTACTCTATACTTCTACTTGGAGAGCAAAAAAGATGAAAATTATCTATGTGACTTCAACTATGTAAAAAAGAGCATTGAAAAATTTCTATAAGAAAATAGAACAAGCTAGGTGTGGTGGTGCACACCTGTGATCCCAGCACTCAGGAGGCTGAGGCAAGAGGATTACCATGAGTTCCAGGCAAGCCTGGACTACATAGTGAGTTCAAGGCCAGCCTGAACTATATAATGAGACTCTGTCTCCAAAACCAAAACCAAAACCAAAACAAACAAAAAATAAAGAAAGAACAAAAAGACAAAGCTGATTATATCTAGGTGGTGGGAGTAAAAGTAAGTTATCTATTCAAGCATTTTAGTAAGTTATCTCATTAAAATTAAAGTAGCTATTTTTTTTTAAAAAGCTAATCCAAAAAAAGGCTAATACAAGCCAAGTGTGCTGATGCATGCCTGCAATGTGGTGGTGCAGCCTCTGGGAAGCTGAAGCAGGAGGATGGTAAATTCAAACCCAGCCTGGGCAACTCAGCAACTTGGTGAGATGCTGTCTGAGAAAATGGAAAAATGGAAACAAAGCCTTTGTAAATAGAGAGGGATGGAGGGGTTGAAGGGAGAGCAGGGGAAGGGGGAAAAATAAGAACCAAGAGAGATTATGTAAAGGTGCAAATTTCCAATGATGGATGTC